TTTTCTTCTCCCTTTTTAAGAGATGATGACTGGCTTTAAGGAAAAATAAAGCTGAAGAAGTTTGTTTTGTTTTCCCCCTCCATTTTGGTTGCATCATTCTGAATGTTTCATTTAAAGAACAGTTTCTGATGCAGCCAGATGCTGAATCCTCAGGAGGTTCCAGATGTTTCCAGATAACTCTGTAGTTTACGGACTGTGGTTTTGTCCAGTGAGCAAAGATCAAAGTCAAAGGTTGTATTTGTGATATGAAAGTGTCCAGTTTCTTCTATAAGATTTACTACCTGAAAGGAAAGAAAAGATGCAGCTGAGAATTTCAGCAGTTTTACATGACCACTGATGTATTAACATGACACTAAGTGTCATATGAAAGGCATAAAACAAGACCAATTGCCTCATTACCTGCAAGTTAAACCATTATTCTTATCACTCACTTCCTTTCTGACACAAACCATGGTCCAGGCTACAGTACCTCCGTTGATTTTTCTTTTAGATAATCACCACCCATAATGCCAGCCTACTCATCTGCTGTTCCAGCAAACATTACCATTATGACTACATTTTTTAAATGTTAGAAGAAAATCTGCATGTTTTCTAAGTCAGTCTCCAAAAAAAAAAACAGCAATCCCCACCCACCAACACCCAAATAAATAAAAAAAAACCCCAGTCTGGAATATTCACTGTGTTCATAGCTGCTAAGCAGGTTACTTTAGAAAAAAATCGGCACAAGCCTTTCTGCAAGCAAAGGAAAGAAATAAATCCCTATGGAATCTAGTCCATAGCAAAGAAAAAATGTATTTAAGAGCTCTCACATCAACTGTTAGTTCACATACTAGCAGTTATTTGTTGAGTAACAGACTTAAATCAATTTTTTTTAAAACCAAAACAACCATGAAAGACTCCTACCAATGGCGTAAGATCATGTCTTCTGGTGACTAATCTATAATCATAGCTTTCATTCAAACAGGAAACAGAGGAACTGTTAGGAGTTCTTGAGAAGAATAGGGACTAAAAAGTCTCTCCTATGAGGGCTCTTCACCCTGGAGAAGGGAAGGCTCAGGGAAGATCTTATCAACGTGTACAAATACCAGAAGGGAGGGTGTAAAAAAGACGGAGCCAGGCTCTTTTCAGTGGTGCTCAGTGACAGGACAAGAGGCAATGGGTACCAACTCAAACACAGGAGGTTCTCTCTGATCAGGAAACACTTTTTTCCTGTGAGGGTGGCTGAGAGCTGGCACAGGTTGCCCAGGGAGCTGTGGGGTCTCCACTCTTGGAGATATTGAAAAGCCATCTGACATGGTCCTGAGCAACTCACTCTACATGTCCCTGCTTGAGCAGTGGGGGATAAGACTAAATGACCTCAGGAGGTCTCTTCCAACCTCAACCATTCTATGATATCAACAGTTCATATCTAACTTGTGCAGTTTTGACATTTTTAGTCCCTGAATTGTGGTCTACATTTTTAAAGAGTAGTCATACTCAAAACACTAAACTGCTGTAACAAGTAACTCCAGATATGCTATGTTATAGGATGTGCACCTACCTAAAAAATCCATTCAGCATCTTGGAAAGCCAAAGCATTATTCATCAGATAGAGCTAACACAGTGTCAAGACACTATGGCTACGGATCTCTTATGCGCTATTTCCATCCAAAAGACAGACACCGCAAGTAAGCACCCCCCTGCCTTGAAGTGAGCCTCTGGGTAGTGTCATGGACTGACAGAACATTGCTCTTCTGCTCAGTCTTTCCAACCATCCCTCCTGCAGCACTCAGGCTAGGCTCGATGTCCTGTTTGCACCCTTCAATTTGAAACCCATTTAGTTCTAGGGCTTCCACATGTACCTCCACTGAGATGCTACTGCTCGATATTCCTTGCTTGTTTGTGCTTTATTACTCTGTCTGTAACTCCTTTTCCACAGCTGAAGGAGATACAGATGTATGCACACATGGCTCACAGAGCACACGTTAAAACGACCAATCGGGTAGGAATACACCAACTTGAAAAAGAACAATGAATTTAAACTAAATCTTTTGTGATTTTCTCCTCCCCATTTCATTATATAAGTAGATGCTTTTTCTCCTCAGACCACAGAAGAAAAGACTATGTTGATGCTAAATGGAGTAACTTCATGTGTATTGTCAGGCATGCAATGACACAGCCCAGGGTGGATTAAACAGAATGGAAACAAGATAAAATAATAAGAGGGAAATGCCTGTTACAGTAAAAATCCCCCATTCCAATCACCTCCCATTTTCCAGGTTGGAAAAAAGGTAAAATCTGTTTAATTTGGTTTGCAGCTGTCCAAAATTATGAAAGTACTTAGAACAACCCTGCTTTTATTAACACTTCATTTAAATCTGTGCCTCTTGGCTTTATTTTTTTCCATATGCAAATTTTTAATCTGAAATTGTCAGCTTTGTCTGTTTGTTGATTCAGAGATTCTTGTATGATTTTTTCCTCCTCTTCCTGTTCTGCAATTAACCTGAGAGAAAAAAAATCAAATGGGACAAAACGGATTGTTACCAGAAAGCAACTTTGATACGTGTTATTTGTTATTCTTAGATGTGGCACTCTTCTGAGCCTCCTCTAAAGGAGAAGTTTAGGAGCCAATCCCGCCTCCTTTTGTAAAATTAGGAATCTAATCTCAGGCTTGGTCTCTGAATATCCATTGTGTGATAAATAAATGTCTGCACAAGAATTTTACAGAAGCTGAGGCCAGGAAGGTGTAGCTACCCTGAACAATTCTGTCTAACGCTTACTTGCGTTATGATGAAGACTACCACCCCTCATAACCCCCATAGCAATATACCTGACTTTAGAAACAAAGATTACATGGAAGTGTTAACACATGTATTTTTAAACAGCACTGTATATTTAAAAAAAATGATAAGGATTTTTATTGATCAGGCTCTGCTTTGGGCTTTTAAGTCCTTGGCCAAGGGAAACATAAACATTTTAAACATTTCCCTCACCCAGCCCTCACTAGGAAATATAGCCACTATGTCACGATACCTGATAAATCAGGCTGAAACGAACCCCAAAAGTTTTAATGGGTGTACAAAAATGTATCAAGATAAACCCAGGCAGCTCAATGAAAAATACCTGCCTGTATCCCAGTCAATGAAGAATTAATGACTTACAGTATTAGCATAGACATCCATATGCTATTCAGAAATACTTGAAAAAGAATAAAAGGCCAAGATTAGTTCCTAGGAAGTCTGACAGTTATAATATTAAAAACACAGCATTAAAATGTTTTATTCTGAGAGCTCCGGCTGCAAAGAACAAAAATATCCCATTTGTTCCTGCTGTAGTAAGCTTTGCTTTTCTGCTGTAATGTACATCTCTGTTTACATAATGTCTCTCCAGCTCAGTTTCATCATCATCCATCATAGTACAGCTATTTATCTGCCTTTAAAGAAGCAAATGAGCATGTGTGTTTAAGGAAGCCAAACTGCAACTAATGACATAGTCATTTTTCAATTTATGAAGGGTCTTAGGCCACATGATAGTTTCCAGACCTGCAAGCTGCCCCTCACAGAAAATTCTCAGAAGATAGCTGCCATCTGAAGTTAAGCACCTTGTAGACATGAGCAATGTTATTTTCAACAGTTCTGCATGCTGTCAATTTCTTCCTTATGCCTGTGCTGCCTAGTGCACTGGCTTTAAGGAGATTTTTCACCAGCTGAAGATATGACTTCTGATGCTTCAAAATATAATGCAAAGTCTTACCAGAAATCTTGTTGATCCCCATTGTCATGGGGTCATGCAAACATCACCTGCACTGAAAACTCAGATGTAAGAACGCAGCTTTAGCCAGCCAAATTTGAATACATGGGACATGAAGCATTAACATCTGATTGCACTCAGTAATCCCTACTATTTCACTCAAAACCAGAGTGTTGGGGTTTTTTTTTTTGTTTTTTTTTTTTCCAAAAAAGCACCTCATCACTGTAAATCCCAAACCCTTTCTTTATAGTGAAAGAGGTGGGAGAGAGCTTTCTTTTTAAAATGTAATTTCAGACCACTTTGTCTAGCCATGGTCCAATATTCACATAAAAATTGCTCAGGTGATTCTCACAGGACTAATTTCTTGGTCAAATGTCCTTTTTCACCGGCCTTCTCCCTCTTGGGCAATTTTTAAATAAGTATCATTTTACATCAGGATTACGTAGCTACATATCCAGGCACTTGCAGTTTAGTATCACAACTCTCCTGCCTCCTCCCTCTTTTTTGTGGATTTGTTTCAGCTTCCTTTAACAAAGCATCTCAAAGAGAAATGTCTCTCTTGGGAAAGAGCCACATTCTCAAACAGATAGATTTTTTCTCATTTCCAACTTGGCTGCATTCCTGTTTGCTGTCATGCCTATGGACTTGGTAACAACGGAGACGGCAAACCTGTCCTCTCCTTTTCACATCCCTCAGCGTAAGTTTCAACAGCCAGCGCTTTTGAATGATCAATGCCTTCATTCTTCTCTTGCAAATCCCTTCTCTAAAAATGCCCTGAAAGTCTGTGGGTAGCAGACTTTGACATGTGCAAGAGATTATTATCTGCCCTGACATAAACTGAAGGGATGACAACCACTGCTCAGTGACAAACAACTCCACCACCATTCTGCTTCAACACCCGCCACTGCCTTTAAAAGTCTTGCAGCTTTCTGTTGTGTATTTTTGCACTCAATCCCCCTTCTCATGTAGTAACCACCATCGCTTTCCACAGTTTTAGCCTTTGCTCTCCTGACCTTTGTACTTCCTATAGTCGCTATACACTTGTATTTCTTGGTCTAGAAGTCTCACATTCATTCCTCAAGACCTTCTCAGCTCTTTACACTTTTTCTTTCTGTTCTCACTGGAAGAATTTTACATTAATTACACAGCTGCAAAGCAGTAAGGACAGTTTATTTGCAGAGCAGCACTGATTCTCTGTAAATTATCCATTCCATATTGTGAACATACTTCTGTAAACTGATAAAATCATATGAACTAATGAATTGCAGAATAAAGTCCTTTCCAACCTTAATGATTCTGTGATTAAGGGATTAAAGGCTTTGAAACAAAACAATAATGATTTGTTTTATAACAGCATAGACCATTTGTTAGTGCAGACTAGCAAACAGACAACTGGTAAGTAACTTGGCTCTTCCACTGAATTCTGGTGGAGCTCTGTAGCTCATTAGGCACTTACCAGCTATCGGTAGAGAACTGCACCACTGTCCTAACCTACACAGTTCGGTTACAAATCCAGCTTTCACTGGGGCTTTATGGACAGCCTGCACACGCTCCAAACCAAGGGAAACAACCTGCAAGAACAGTCCCCCAGGAAACAAGGCAACACTGATTCTACATCAACCTGACTTTTATAATATAACTAATTAAACATTATGCTATGAGAAGTCACGGATTACAGCATTAAAATTTTACCCTTAATGTGAGTCGTGAGGAAGGGCAATGAATGAATGCTTTCTCTGATCTGACAAATACACTCATGAGAGAAGTAAAAGTCTATCTTTAGTTTAAAATGCACAAGAATATACTGTTCTTTTTTTCATTTACTCAGAATAGGATACTCTAAACTTCTAGCTCAGTTATGTCTTTTTTCACACAGTTTTTCTTTGTATTAGTAACTTCCCATGAAACAGATTATAACAGTACTCTACCATCACACTGGAGAAGCTTTACCCATCATTTTTCGAACAAAAGTAAATATTTCTTCCCCATCAAAAACACTGAAATGCTACTAGATGAGACAGAGGATTATGGATTCAACTTGAACCATCTTATTTGCTTGGGAAATATTTCTCTAGGATGACAGAAGGATTCCAATTGAAAGGGTTTTTGCGAGTCCCACCCGCTGCCCAGAGCGGGCTCAGCCGTGAGGTCAGATCAGGCTGCTCTGGGCTTAACCAGTCAGGATCTTAAAGCTCTGAGGATGCAGACAGCACAGTCTCTCCAGGACTCTGTTCCACTGAAAGATCACCTTCATGGGGAAAAAATGTTTCTTGCTTGTTGTTATCTTTGCTTTACATAAAAGGTTTTGAAGTTGTTGTTGTTCTTCAAAATTTCACATGAACCCACCTTAGCCCTATGCTCTGCAGGCTGTCCCTGCAGCCCCAGTGAAAGCTGGATTTATGGCCAGACTGTGCAGGCTAGGACAGTGGTGCAGTTCTCTACTGATAGCTGGTAACCACGTAATACTGGCGACAGAGGTCTACCAGAAGTGAAACCGTGCAGAAGCTATGCCTTGGATTACTGGGGAAGTAGGTGCTCACGAAGCAAAGCTAGGGTGTGAATTTACGATACAAGTGGCTTTTTCAGATTCACTTCTTATGTGAACTCTCTCAGAATTAGTGAATAATGTAAAGTGGAAAGGGTGTGCAATTCCTACTGTTTAGCCTCCTGCAGAGTAATTTCCCAATATAGATAAAAATTTGCCTCTGCCACCATTCTGAAAGTGTGCTTTGGTTCCCTTTGTAGACAAAAGAAAACTTATGAAACAGTACATTAAATATGAAGGATAACCAATATGCATCATTGTGTATTGTAACTTATGAAATCTGACAAAGCTATCAGAATTCCTCTTTAACTAGGAATATCCTTAACCAAGGTTTTCCTTTTCACTGACCTCTCAATTGTTTTCTCACCTTTACTCACAATATTGAGCCTGAACTCATAAACAGATTAATGCTGGGTATTACAATATATTTTTAACACACTTATCCAAGTGTGGATAAATGTGATGAGTGATTGCAATCGTTTAGAATTGGTAAAAATTTCCCTCTTTACAACATGTCCACAATCAGCACATGATTGTGCTAAACATAATAAAACCATCTGCACTACAATTACATCTGCTTTGTTAACAAGCTCTTATTGTTTAATCTTCATAATTTGTAATCCAATAGTACCTGACAATGCCATGCAAAACAAAGAATATTATTCTTTGTTCTTACTATTGCATAACCTTTCAATAAATTTGGAGCCTTCTTAGTTTGCAGATTTTCATATTTTACTTGTTCCATGACTTCAGAAGACTCAATTAATATACTGTGTTTTTCCCCGAAGTGAGTTTGGCTTTGAATTCCATGTTTTCTGTTTGCCATAGAAAACATCTTTAGTGTTTTTCTGAGAAAACGCCAGTCATTTTCAGGAAAAAGCAGTAAGATTTTTATCAAGTCATGGTGCACATCTGTATCCATTCTCTCATCCTGTTTTCATAATTATCGATACAGTATGCTGAGAAACGTAACAATGAATTGGTGAAAAATTTAGCTCACAGAGGCTTTTTTCTTTTTAATTTGTCATTTAGCATGACAAAACAATTTAAAGTGTGTGTAAAAATTCCCTAAGCTGCACTGAAAGTAGTGATGGGCTGTATATGGATTATACAGGCTTGAAGGCTATTAAACCTGGTAATAGAGTTTTAGATGAAGGCAAAAAAACAGATGTGACTTCACAATTTCAGTGAGCACACTGTGATATTGCATGAGAGTGCTCCTCACCTGCTGTAGTACATGTCTCTCTCTCAATGTCATTAATCTTCTGTGGAGTTCTACTAGTTCATCGAGATATGCCTAGAAACAAATCCCCCCCCCATAAACAACTTGTTAATTAAGTCATAACTGTGTATTTTAAAAAATTCAGATGTCTAAAAAACAATACAAATGGAAACTTTATTTTAAATGTTCTTTAAGCTAAATTTTCTTATTTAGTAGTCTGGCTTTCTCTAGCCTAATACAACACAAATGTAAGTTTTTGTGGTTTTTCTTAGATACTTCATGCCAATGAAAATCTTATTAGGTGGTCCTTTGCTGTAGAAGATAATCTCTATATCTCAACTGTAGCAGAATGTGTCAAACAAACTGGGGATGCCAAAACAGCATCTTTAAAAAATATCTCCCACCTGTCCACGTAAGACCCAAGCCCAAAGGCTCAAAATCAAATCCCTCTTTTTCTCTAAAGCTATGTAATTAACTTTCTGTGTCAGCAAGGAGATATAAGGAAAGAAAGATCAAGCAAGATTACTCCAACGGTAAATTCCACTGTCCTCCTTCCTGGGTTGTCAAACATGTCCCACCTCCCCACCCAATTATCAACTTCCTCCTTCAGCCTGAGCTTAAGCAGAAACCTTTTTTTTCCTCTTGAAGCAGAGACAGATACAGCACCCAGCTTAAGAAGCCAAAAAGCGTATGGATCAGGTTGATGAAAATCTAGCAACAGATACCGAAACTCTGGTCTCCTGTCTCACGTTATCACAAAGTTGACACTAATACCTGTAAAATATGAACCTTCAGAGGAACTTGTCCACACTAGGAAATTATGCTATGTTCACTCATAGAAGGACTTGGAGCTCTTATCCATGGCTACCTGATGTAATTTTAAACAAAACTGTCTCTCGGCTTTAAATGGTAACTGTTGCTTCATATCATTCTAATTGACATGCTAAACCACACTGCCGCTTCCTAATGCACAGCCTTCAGAAAGGATTCTGGATTTTTTTTTTTTTTTTTTTATTGATTTATTGGCTAGGAATACAGATGTGAATTCTCCTTTTCAAAAATTATCACTTCACATGTGAAGCATAATGCAAAAGCACAGTGGAGAGTGGATAAAATACAGATGGCAGATTCCCAACTGGTGACATTTGCCAAATCACCACACATACTGAAAAGAAGGAAAACACTTCCAAAATAGCACAGGAGAAGAAATAATTAGAGGAAAAAAGAGACAAATCTGCACCTAAGGGAACACAAGGCAAAGATGTACTAATTACTAAAATTTTCTTTTTTTAACAAAGGTTGGTGTTTAGTTATTCCATTACTGTCACACTCTGGACCAGTTTACTGTTACCTGATTCTCATTTACCTTATCACAATCCCCATTCTTTATTTGTTTATCAGATTTGTTTTGCTTTATTGGACTTTTCACTTCTAAAATCTGGAAAAGAAAGAAAATCCTGTGAAAATTAAAGGCACTATTGGATATAACTACATACGAAAAATTCTGCTATCAGTTAATAACACACAAATATAACATCTGGAGAAAATGTAATCAAAACTCAAAACTGAGCATTTCAGTTTTGTCATCTGTACAACCTACTCATATTTTTCAGAAAAAAAGGCACCTTACAGCAGAAAATGCTGAGTTGCTGGAATGAGGTGATACTGATACTATTAATCCTTAAAAGAATTAATTTCATGTCATGTAAAGCCTCCTCAGCACTTTTTTGTATCTTTTGCATGCTGGTAGGATAAGAGGTCTGATTTTGCAAATACAAAATGATGCTGAGGTACTCTCCAGTGCCTTTAAAATGTCACATGATCAGTATATTTTTCCTGTTCTTCTTTTTCCTAACTGCTCTCTCTTTTCTTCTAGAATAGAGATTTTGAAATGTAGTCTTTGAAATGACCGCATGAGTTGTAACTGAAAAAAGAAGTGTTTGACAGTAATTTCTCTTGCACTTGTATGGTACCCTTTCTTCAATGCCATACAAAGCCATTTACTACCACATATAAAACTCTAGAATGCTTCCTCCAGTACTGAAACACAGTCAAGAAGAGCATATCAACAAGCAGAAGAACACCATGCTTAATAGGAAAATTTTTGGATTAAAGTGAGGAATATTTTTGGGAAACAGAACTGTTGATTATTCTTCCAATTTTTCCACACACAACACACGTTTTTTGAAGTTAAAAGTAGAGTTAAAAAAATAAATAAATCACCATGTCATTCCTAACCCGGAATATGATCAGTTCTTCTGAAAAACATCAAAGGAAAAGAAATGATCACAGATGATGGGAGATTTTGTTTCACATTTCATTGTAAGTAAAACTAGCATCACTAGCATGATTGTCTCCAAAACGACACTGGACAGTCACAACACAGGACAAAACTCAGCAAATAAAACAAGGAAATAAGGCCTATAAAAGCAAGTCTTTTAGACTGGCAAAAAGCCTCACTGACAGCTTTCTGTAAGTTCTGTCTCATTTCTAATTTCCTTGGTATAAATGACTAAAATTGCACGTATACCCCTGAGGGTTACCAGCACCATAAGAATACAATAGGCAGGCAGCTATTTCCCTATATAGAGAAAGTGACTGCAGATCTGAGTTAACTTTACATTAAGGATTTACTTAGCCAAGAGTGATGCATGGCCAGAAAGCAAAACATACTTTTCGAAGAAAAATCCCAGTTCCTCGATTCAACACTCCCTGGGGTTACTGTTGTGTAGGCCAGTGGAAGAAAAAGGTTCATTTTGGAAAAAAAAAAAACAAAAAACAAAAAAAACAGACCTCTAGGCACAGATCCAGTACCTTTTAGATGCTAAAGGAAGAAAATTCTTGGTTTAAAATAGAACCTTAGCAAGGACACAGTATATTTGAAAAAGTTGCTTCCTTACAGTGCCCCTGATGTGTAGTTGAAATCTAGCGTCTTAAGCACTCTTGTTTAGCACTAATCATATCTGAGGAAGCTTACAGAAATATTAACTCTGTCTTAGCTCTTCAGTTCTATGAATGGACTTAATCAACACAAACCTGATTTCATCAGTCAAAAGCATCATCCTGGCAAGCAGCACTACCCTACCAGGCAGAGATTTCAAATGTGGCTATGGTCCATGCAATTTGAATTCACGTAATGCTTCCATAAATTTCTGATTTTCTGCTCCATTTTAAAATTCAGCTCAATTATAAAAAGGGAAGAAGGTATGCGCCATTCTATTTTAGCTGGCACACTGCTGTTGTTTGGAGTGTCTAAACGGGCAGGTAGACCTTCTGTTAGGTCACCAAAGCGGAAAGACACATGAAAGATGTGTCACATCTTGAGTGGGCTGCTGACCTTGAGAGTTACAATTACGTAACAGTTACATTGCCTCTGTAGAAGTTAGTCTTCATTAAACAACAAGACATAGACAGGTGTTTTCTTTTTCTTGTGCTTATGTCTCCAGTAAATGCAGTATTCTTCATCTTCATAGTTTGCTTTTTTCCCCCAAAAGACTCTCTTAAAAACTTTTTAACTTTTGTACAGATCAACTTAGAAAAGCCTACAGAGTTTATGGTCAATAGTAAGAATGCTTTCTGGACATGGAATCTCCTCCTTCTCTCTGTATACAAACTACTTCCTAGGTCTTTTCCCTCCACAGTGTATTTGAACTTAACTGACATGAATAATAATAATAATAATGTTTTAGTTTTGCACTATCTGTAAGCTTGCACTGGAAACCTTATTAGAAAAACAATGACAAGGAAATAATTTCTACCAGATAACTGAAGCAGTTAACCTAAGAGATACAGGAAAGACTTATCCATAAAACTCACTATCTAAACCACAAACTTTTGTAAATACACGTAGACACTATTCTAATTGTATCAATACTGTAAGGAGCCATTTATTGCCAGTCAGTAAATTTCATGACTGCTTTGTGTATGATCCAACTGACACTGGGAGTGAATTATGGCTCACTAAAGTGACAAATGAAGTATTTTATAATTTTTTTAAGAAGATCAGGTTTTAGGTTTAATTTTTATATTTAGAGAGCCTTACTTTAATGGTGGCTGGGGGTGAGGTAACTCCTGAACTCAATTCTCATTTGTCCCTGATGCGTTTTGTAGGTCTAGGTTATTTAATTTCTTTTTGCTGAAAAACAGAACTACCCTACTTTCCTACCTCAAAAATAATAACAATGTTAGCTCTTACAAATATGGAATAAGTACTCTGATAGTGAAGTAAAAACTACTGTGTCTTGTAGTAAAGTAAAAATATTTTATCTTCTAGGTAAATACTGGTGGGGGAGAGGGGAAGAGATGAATGAACAAACTCTTGAGAATGAGCCTTGATTGATGCAGAATGTGTCTACTGCTAGTAAGAACCCAAATCTGTATATAACAGTATGACTGATGCTGTAAAGCCAGTTTGCACTGTTTACCTTACAAAGCTAATTCACACAGAAAGGACACATTTCTTAAAATACTGATGAAAACATTACTTTGGTCTATACTTTTTTGCTAAAGCAAATACTTCTTCTCCTGGGAAGAAAGCACTTATGTCAGTTTACAGACTAAGTAACTGCACCGAAGTAATCAGAATGTCGTTATCAGCTCCCCAGGACTGCATTTATGAATCCTGACTTTACCTGGTTGTTGTTGGTTTTCAATAAAGGTGGCGCTGGTTCATGACGTAGTGATGAGGAAGCTGAACTGCTGTCGCTGTCACTGCCATCACTCAGACTAACCCTATGGAAAAACAGAGCCAGGAGATTACACCTCCAGACCGATAAAGGGCTGTTAACGAGGGTGAACCGAGCTTGCACTTCGAGGTGGGACACTAAGAACTACCCCTCGCTAAGCCAGCCATCGTTAATCAAGGTCAGGTGGAAGAGAGGCATCCGAGCAGGGCTGCACTCTGGAGAAAACCCTGCGTAGCACAGAGAACAAGGCTGGCTGCCTGCACTTGGCTGAGACAACATGTCTGGTTAACAGCAGCTAACGTTACAGAAACGGTTAAGTATTTAGAACATTAAACTGCCATTCCCAACATTCCTGGAGCGAGTCTGTATCTTGGTTCATAGCCACATGGAAGGAGGAAAATGTTTTTTAGAGACACTTTTCTGCTCTTCTAAAAGCTTTCTAAACAGCTGTACTTGCCACTTGGGCAAGTGTTTCACTGAAAAGTTCCTTGTTTCTAACCATAAATAACATTCTTTTTCCTGCCTAAAATTTAAAAACTTAGTATCTCAGGAGAGGCCACATGCCAGAGCTCAGCTCCTAGCCAGTCTCACCCTTCATTTACTTAGGAACAACAGGGAGTATTTATTTGCTGGAAGAAAAGAAAAATAGTTACTTGGGATAAAAAGAAGATGGAGAAACATTAGCCTTAAGGTTTTGTTAAAAAACTGAAACAAAGCCTCCACAATCCTTTACACAAACACTGACACGAACAAATTCTCAAACCACTAGCAATCTTGGTCTTTTTCTCCTTGATTCCAGCTGCTAAAGTGCACCAGGGAAGCAGCTGACATTCATTAATGTTTTCCTATTACCTTCTCATTTAAGCAGTAGCTGACATTGGCACTCAGGTGCTGTGCACTCACAGCAAAACCCTGTGGATCAGATAAAGAACGCACTATTAAAAAGGTTTGAGAGAGACTGTTTCAGGTTTTCCATAACCTTTAACAACGTTCAGATGGCAATTCAAGCTGCCCGAAGAATAGATGATTTTTGGAATGCACTCTTAAGCTTGCAGCTAGGATGCAGAAGCTTTTTTTAAAAAGTAATCTCTGTGACGGATGCTTGCTTTACCTTCTTTCTGCACTTCTACACATTGCCTACTGCATGCAGCGCAGAAATTACTTGAAATTCAAATTTCGTTGTTTCTGATGCAATTTAACAACCTAATCCAGAACTGCTAAGCGGAGAGATCTTGAAAATGAGACACTATGTACAGAATAGCTCATGCAGCAATTGAAGGATTTAATTTTATCTCATTTATGCCAGAGAGCAATTATGACTGCTCCCCTGAAGTCACAATGGCATGAAATCAAGGAAAGTCAAATGAATGAGGATCATCATAACCATATGGATTAGTACAGAAATAGTTTGTATTGGGAATGGCTAATTCTGTTAGTTTTTAGAAGAGGCACTTTCATATGCATACGCTTTAAAAAGGCAGTCTGAATTCTCTGCCTGTGTCCTACTCATCTCTCTTTGAGAACATCAGACCTCACCTCATTACTAGCAAGCACAATGCCTTGGCCACCAGGCTGCTTGCAATCACAAGACACTCACCTGCGACTCCTGCTTCCTCCTCGCGTATTTACAGGTCGTTCCAGCTCAGAATCATTGTCATTCTCACCTGCTTCGTCTGATTCATCTTCATTATCATCTGAATGCAGATCTTTCATTATAGACCTCAATGGACCTGAAACAACAGAGACAATAAAATACAGAAATGAAGTTCACTTTGCAGTGTTCCAGGCAATTCACCCAGCTTTGTAGGTGATAGAAAACTACCCTCTCCGCACAGTGTCAGAAGGGGAGAGTCTTAAAAATTAAACAAATGAAGTAATGCACTGGGGGCTTATGCTGCAGGGACTTATCCATGAATCATTTACTGACACAAGCAACTCCATCAGATTCAATAGACTCACTCATGACAGTGAAGTGACTCAGATGTTCAAGGGTTTTTAAGATTAGCTCCCTGGACCACGGCTGAAGCAAGTAAAACACTGCCATACCATGAGAAATTGACTATTAATGTATTATTATTATTAGAAGCAAGATTCTTTTGCATTGATGGGTTTTAGCATTTTTTGCTTTCTCAAAGGGTATTATATGCAAGTAAAGATCTACAGGAACATTCTGATCAGTAACAGTACATTTGTTAAGTTAATCTATGTATTGAGAAGTAGAGTTTAACAAATCATTCTAACTAACTTGTACTGGCCAAGGCAGTCTTTTTCTTCCTGTTTTTTATATATTTAGCTTTAGCTGTTCCCTTTATTTCAGGGTCAATTTCAGATTAAGTAAGCCCTTTGGCAATATTCACATGTAAAAAGCGCATCAATCCCTCAGCACCATGCTATCTCTTCTCCTGAAGTAACAGAAGGTGCAAAACTTAACTTGCTCATAGAACTGCACTGAATTCAGTCTTGGATTTTGGTTTGATTTTACTCCGTTTATTTTGCTGTTAAAAGTTACAGAAAGAGGAATATGTTTAACGTATCTGGGAAACGTAGAACGGCAGCTGCTTGAAATAAGTATTGGCAAAAGCAGCCTAGAAGAGGGAAGGAAGCACGATTGATGCCACAGGGCATTTAACTCAGATGGGCTGTACTTCAGAGACAAAAAGCAGCAAGTAAAACCAACGGTGATGGCTGCAGAAACACCAATTACTATTAGGGGTCTGTAATTCCTTCATCACAGGAAACACAAAGTGCTAATGTGAAGGAAGTGAGCCTCAGAGTGTCCTTCACAGATGAAACTTGCAACTCTCTATTTGCTAGTGGGGAAACAGAGTCAAGGAGAGCCAGCCTTGGTCACTGCTGGATGAGAAGATAGACCTCTGTCTGTCAGGGTCATACTCCTAACAGGGGAGGTGTTCCCTTCATGGGAGGAATGGTTTTATGAATTATTCCAGACCTAGCAAGGCTCAGATCACAGCCATTTTGATTAGTTTTGTGTGAGTGACTTCAAACCGATGTTAAGAATGATTTACCCCTAAGGTTCCACTAGAACTTTCGTAAATTGGCATCGTTTGGGCAGGTTCAGATCAATGGTTTCTTTTCTCTCTTTTTATACCCTAAGGCTGGCTGGCAAGAAGCCATGACAGTGCTGATGGACAAATTCCTGGTGGACCCAACACTTGTACAGGCACCAAGGAAAGGGGAGCTATACTGAAGAGCTTCTTGTTCATGCAACCACCACTGATCTGCAGAAGCAGTTGATCCATGCTCCATTTTCTATTCCTGTTTGGGGTCTCAGGCAGACAATACTCAGCTGTCTGCAAATGGTAACTTGTCATCTGACTGAATATCTAATCATCTGACCCTGAAGGGGACAAAGAACTCCTCCCTTGGCTTCAAAGAGGAGCACTAATAAACATGTTCCTTTTAAGAGGGAGGAGGGAAGGCACTCTCAGCAGCATCAGCACAGGATGAAGAATTTGCCCATTTTGATCTGTTTGGAAAATGTTCTCATTGGGCAGCTTGACTGTTGAGGTGGGTGAATGAAAGAGATGGCATAGGGAGCTAAATGAATTGAGGTAAATGGTTAGGAAAGACAATTAAATTATAAATATACAAAGAAGGATTCCATGTTTCAAGAGAGATAAAAGGGTAGAACACAAGGGTATTTCCGCAGGCTATGCTTAGCCTAGAAAGGCTAGTTTCCTTATATCTTACTGGGCAAAGACACTAATAACCACCATCAAAGTCCTACTGAAGACAGTCGTCTTTGTCTTCACTGAGAGCAGATGCATCTCACTCCACTCCATAGGCCAAAGTCAGCTTCTGAGAATGCATTTGTCTCCTCTCCACCACATACAGGAGGAAGAAAATAAAAGAAAAGACTGAGTAAAGGGCAGATGGAAGGAAAGCATCTTCATACTTTTGATGAAAGAGTTGAGAAAAAAACATAATTTTGTAATGAAATTTAGTATGACATATGAATAGCTGATCTTGCATAAAACACCAGCACATTAACTCCACAACATGGAAACTGGTAGCTATGCTTGCAAGTCATAATGAACATCAGACCTTGATTTTCTTTTTAAATGGATGCAGAAAGAAAAGCAGCACACATTCCTCATGATCCTTACACTGCTCTTCCAAGCTTAAGCTAACTCATTATTCTTACCTATGTCCTTTTTCCAAGTATAGCAGGGGGCCATTTTATCCCCTGATACTCCCTTGCTGTGTTCTGGGACAGGACAGTCCTGTCTCAAGCTGCCAACAGGCTTATTCCTCTTCCTTGGAGAAAAAGGAATTTGGACTCCTGAGACACATCCATCATTGACAGTCCCATAGGCATTGAATCACCTGTCATTTAGACAGGTTTTCACTTAATGGAGGACCATGTCTGGGACTCTGAATAGGCATTTTGTACCCAGGTAGCTAACTATTTCAGTAGACTTCCCTAACAATCAGCTAAGCATTAATTTTTAGGTCTTTTGTTTCTAACATTGATAGCAATGTCACTGTTAATCTTCTGCTCCTTGCTAACACTTTAAAATTCCATTACAATCTTTTTAAGAGTTTAAGTAGTAGTTATCTCCTAAAGGGTCAGAATAGTTCAAGAGAAACTGAAAACTAGGAGCTGCCCAAGACCAAGTATTCTTGGTAAGAAAACAGAAATATCAGAGTAAGTCCAAAGGGCTGAAGAACTTGAAGAACCTTAGGTCAGCCCACTGCTTATGCTAACAGAGGTGAAAGAAGTTCATGCTGTGGTTTTCTGACACTTGAGTAAGCACTGAGTGTGAATGCAATGGAAAAAGAGCAATGGCCCTAGCAACTAACTTCTAGTTAGGGAAAAAAGTATGGGTTCTGCACAACGTACAGTGTGAACATGCCACAGTATGGCTGGTGCTTCGTCCCTTCGATATACAAATGCACAGTCTGGGCAATGAATGTATTTAGTTAACTGAAACTCCCAGAAAGAAGCAGTAATCACTATTCACTGTGGCAAGAAGGAAGAGACTTATAGGCCACTTGTACTTCAGAGTTGTTCACATCTGAGGAAAAACCTCCCATCTAATCTTGTGAAAGTACAAAAAGCTGAAAGATAGTCTGTAATATGTCTTAAGTATGTCCCCAAAGAGACGGAGGGATCCAGGTTGCTCAGCAGAATATACTAAGCAAACAGGTTTCTGCCCAGCATAAGATAACAGATACAGGAATGCGTATTCAAATCTTCTGGCTTGTAATGGACAGTTCACACCACTAATGAGGTTTTCATGAGAATAAAAAGGGGGTTTCAGCAAGAGGGAGTTCTGTTTAGCCTTAGGTAAAAATCAAATTCCTGAAGCCAGTCATCAACCACAGTTCTTCAGCTCTTGCTTTCTTTCACCTGGTGTAACACTGCTAGAACACATTATAAAATCAGTACCAGTTACCTACAGAAAGGCAGCAGGACAGATATGGATCACGTGTAGATCTATTTAAAATAAACTGTCTGCCTGAAGCACTAAGGTATTCTCATAACCTTAAATCAAATATAACATTAAGGAATATAAATGGATAAAACAAATGCAATTTTAATTAGTCAAAAGCTTCCTTTTTAATGCTCCTGATCCAAAGAACAAAACCAAAGCTGATGAAGAATGTATCAGTTGTACAATCTTATAAACCCAGGGAAAAAGGCCAAGCAGGAACTAAGTAGTTTAATAGATCACGTAGAATGAACCTCAACATATTTACAGAAAACCTGCCTTGGCAAGTTCTCCAGGCAGAAAAATGCGTTTCTTTACTGAGTTCCAAGTAAACCATAATTACTAGCCAGATAACCAAAATGCAAACTTAAAGTCAACTTAGAGTCTAACCATCATCTTCCCCTGCAATGTATCTAAAGTAAATGCTGTATGCTGTTAAAACTTCCCAATAGTACGGGAAAATGATGGCCCTTTGAAAGGGTCCACATACACACATTCTTGGTCTTCCCATGGGAAGCCGCACCTTCCTGAGCAGGGCTTTGGATGGACCTAGGTGCTACTTAAACTACCAAAAGGACAACCTCGGACAACCTCAGAAACTGAAGCTCTTTTGAGTCTAGCATCTGTTAAGTGACGGGCATGTATTTAGTGCTTCAAAACAAATACCCTTCACACACTTTTCTCAGACACACATTTTCTCCCCTTTTATTTTGCCCTTAGAGCCACATTTGAAAACAATCTGAGGAAAAATCTCTAAAGCAAAACTGTGGCCAGTTCAGGCTGGGAAAAGGCAGCAGAAAAGTGGTAATGAGATTCCACCAGTTCTGGTTTTATTGGTCCCTTTATTTCACACGTTCCTTTCAATTTCTTCTCCTTTATTGGTACCTTGTTGTCTGCTGTTTTGAGATGGTGTAAAACTGGAACTGGAACTGGAGCTGGAACTGGCAGGACTGGGCTGTTCAGACTTAAAAGAAAAAAAAAGAAAATAAATAACATTGTAAGAAACATTTTTGCCTACAGCTCTTACTGTTAGTTATTGCCTAAGGCATGCCTTTATTTCAGGTGTCAGCAAGGCAAACATTGTAGAAATTTCTATACACTCAGCATACATACACACTACTACCTTATGTCTAGTTCTTTACTAAAACCAATATCCTAACAAAAAGTTCCCAATGCCTTGTTTGAAAGGCTATACAACATGAAAGCCTAAACGACTTTATTACAGACCTAAGACTCCTGTGTCCTTGTCATACTGCAGTTGCAACATTTTCCAAATTAGTAATATAGTAGAATCGAAAAACAGAAAACCTGAGCAGGCCACACTAAATGCCAGAAAACCTCAGAAAGTTCTCTTTCTTCTTCCTTCGAAAGTAAGTTTTGAGATGAGGAATCAAAACAAACTTTTCTGCTATTACTGTATTTCTCCTCATCCCAACACTTTCTATATGAATTAAGACCCTACAGACTGTAATAGTGATTGAATCTGAGAGATTGCCTTGTTGCACAGAGAAATTATCTGGAATCCACAGATTACAAAAGGGAACTAGATTTTTACAACAGAGTTGTTAAAAACAGTTTACATTATTTAACAAACAGTTCTATACATTGTTTTTCCACTATTGTTTAAAATGTATAAATTTCTCTCTAAAATTCTATAAAATTACTGAGAAAGGTCTATTACTTGATCTAAAAATTCTGTATAGTTTTGCCTCATAGTGGTTATGGCTTATGAGGGTTGTACTGAGAAGTCATGCTTCCTGCCACCATGTTGCATGTCTCCATATACTTTTTTGCTGTTTCTTCGGCTCACCGGCTTGAAGTGCATGGGTGTAGGTATGTACCTGCACACTCATCTGTGTACATGAAACAAAGAACAAATTTGGCATGTGGGCACCGGGGAGAACAGAGAACATGAAACAAGAAAGAAGTGTCCATACAGAAGGAATGGTGAGAATCAGGTTAGGAAATCTACCGTTGGAAAGAAACACATACTTACACTTCAAATTTTATACATGACAAGTTATCCAGGCTGACGAAAGTTTTCTGACTCTCCTTGCCTGCACAATATCCCTTGTGATTAAGTTAGAACTAAATTGTTCTCAAGAGTAACAGCAGTAATATCCAGTCATTGTAAAGCTCAGTTTTCATGCACATGGGCTACCTAAGCCTAAGTTGCTTTTTCTCCATAAATCAATCTATTGTTGCCTTTCATAATGAGCAGGCAGATTTACAGCCTTTTACTGCCTTTTCTCACAATGAGAGATGCCTGTTTGGGCCACAGAATGCTTGAGAAAAACACCTAAATTAACATCTGCTCTCCTCAAATCAACACCAGTTCCACAGTTCTCACAGACACGCAGTCAAAATACAAATGCTGAACCTGACTGTATGGGTGTATATAGCTTGTGTACAGGCGAATCAACCCCACCAATAACACAACCCCTTTCTGAGTACCGAGAGAGATTCTTACATGGTCCACAGCATCAGATCTTTTTGGAAGATGCTGCAGCACCACTTGACACTGCTCCAAAAATCAAATAACTCTGAATAAACTTTTGGGTATTTTTTTACTGTCTGAACTTCTGCAAAACCATGTAAGATTTTTAGCTGTAAAATAATTCTGATAACATACAACAGACTGCTCTGATGAAGAACAAGAGTCAATGCAAACTTTAAAGACATCACTATTCTGGAAATTAATTTCAGTCTTCCAGCTTCAGACTACTCTTAAACATCTGGTTTATCTGTCATTTTCTGCTTTTTGCAGAAAAATTACTAGCTGAAAACTGGTTTCTGCAGGTTTCCATTAACTGTATTTTTCCTTTATTAATTTCAACATGAACTTTAACTTCTGTAAAATCTGTTCCTTTAAAAAAGTAACAAACACTCTAAGACTATCATATTCAGTTTAAAATACTTGAAGAAGTCCTAAAACTGCAAGAAAAAAACCCACAGAGGTGCTGAGATATTTATCACTATTAAAAAGTCACTACTTTCTTTTTGAACCAGTTTACTGGATATGAGAAAAAGGAAAAGGCCCGGTCTTGTTCAGATTATAAGGCATGCAAACACCAGTGAAATTCCTCTGTGTCAAATTTTTCTCCCAGCATTAACAAATTAAGACAGGATCACAATGGATATGAATATATATAAAGCTGTTACCTTCCTGGTAAAAATTTTGCTCTGCTTTAGAAGGATCACTTTGAGAAACCAAACCATAAAGAATCCAAGTGAAACACAAATGTTCACCTACACTCTTTTAGAAAGAGTTCTTAATGCCTCTTGAAACAATTAGCATTATTTCCTTGAACAGCCCTATCTGAAAATTTATCCCAAGAAATACACATTAGCAGAAATGTTAAAATTGGTTAAGTATTGGAAATTAAATCTAGCTTTTTTGACTTCAAGAAATGTGGGGTGACAGTGCACCCAAAGGAAACAGCTGCTTTTAACATAATAATGGATGTTATTAACAGAAAAGACTTGCCTTTTTGGAAGGAACTATGCCTTTCATATATGAATATGGATTAGTGCCGACAGCACCGATACTTCTAGTTACCAGAAGCTATCTTTTGTCACTTAAGCAATGCTTTTTGACAGTTTTACAGGCTGTTATCCCAAGGACTTAGGTATTTATGGCTTTATTCACTTGGGCTTTCTGCTCTTATCCACTGGTTACTAATCACCAAACAGATATTTTTTTTTATGGGTCTGAAATTAGCTAAAGCATGTCCTTCAACAATAAAAAGCTTAAGACAGTACCAGCAAAGAGCTTCTCTCGTATGTCCTTTTCCCATTTTAATGGCTTTCTCTTCCTGCAGACGAACTAATGAGAATTTGGGCCCAAACTGTTCATTAGTGCAATGACCTGATATGATTTATTGCATTCTTAGACAGTCTATTTCGTTTTAGTGCTCTCACACCAATGCACAGGAGACACTGGCTCCTTTATTAGGACTGGTTGAGGGACTTTTCTTTGGCTCAAGCTTTCCCTGAAAAAGGTACCTTTTTCACCAGCTCTAAATCACTTGGCTTCTGTCACTTTCAAATTCTTGTGTTTTTACAAGTAGTACAACAACTTACTCTTGAGCTGCAAAGAGTTTTCAGGCAAACTCACATGTTTATGACACAGGATATAATAGAGCTGTTTCTGTAATATTTCATGGTTGTCCACATTCATGTAACTTCTAAAAATAAGCCCCATCATTTCAACCTCCTTAATTACACTAAAAAATAGAAAGCATCTGTATATGGGTGATAATGACTTTTCTTGCCTTCCCCTGAACTGTTTTTTTAAAGGAGGCTTAGATATTGTTTCCTGAAATGAAATTTAAGTGGTGTAGTAATATCCAATTTCATATCCGCCTTTCTACACATTACCCCTTTTTACACACAGTAGTCTAAAGATTCACATTTCCCTGTGCCATACATACCGAAAAGTCTATACACTTAAAACTGCTTATAGTTGAGTATTACTTCCACTTCCATTTTGTCCAAAGTTAGCTTCTCCGGGAGGAGCAACATGGTGTCATAGGACAAACCTTGTCCTGTACTGAATACTTCTACTGTCTCTTAAGCGCCCCATCACAGACCACCGCCTCAGCTTTCAGTAGAGTAATCCAACACATCTGTAGCTCAAAGGGATGAACAAATTCACTTCAGCCACCAAGTTTCCACATCTGCCAATGCCAAGGGAAGATGCCATTTGTGTGTCTGTGATACCATAAGCCTGAACTGAGCTGCCAGCACCCTGCCCAAATTCTGTCTCACCACCTCTCCTGTTCAGCTGTGACGTTAGCCACTAGCCTCCAAGGCAGGGCAAAACTTGCTTTTTAACCATGAAAGTTAGCTTGCAGATTGCAAGCTCACAGGGAAGGTGGAAGAACAGGAGTACGGAGTGGTGACCTGGATTCAGCCAGGACAGAGTTGATTTTCTTCACAGAAGCTAGGGTGAGGCTGTGTTTTGGATTTGGGATGAGAAACTGTTGATAACACGCTGATGTTTTCAGTTGTTGCTGAGCAGTCATGGACAGTCCAGCTCCTTGTGCTGGGCTGCCAGCGAGCAGGCTGGGGGTGCCCGGGGAGCTGGGAGGGGGCACAGCCAGGACAGCTGACCCAGGCTGCCCAAAGGGATGTTCCATACCATACGGTGTCATGCTCGGTATATAAAGTTGGGACAAAGAAGGAGGGCGTGGAGGGATGTTCAGAGTGATGGCGTCTGTCTTCCCAAGAAACTTATTACACATGCTGGAGCGCTGCTTCCCTGGAGATGGCTGAACACCTGCCTGCCCATGGGGAGCGGTGAATGAATTCCTTGTTTTGCTTTGCTTGCGTGTGCAGCTTTTGCTTTACCCATTAAACTGCCTTTATCTCAAACCATGACTTTCCTCACTTTTCTGATTCCTTCACCCATCCCACCATGGGGGAGTGAGTGAGCGGCTGTGTGGGGCTTAGTCGCTGCCTGGGGCTACACCATGACAAGTGGAAGTGGAATTAATTATGTTCTTATAGAAATTGAGATATTTATTCATAACGATGACATTTAAGAAACTAAATTTAATATTTAGGAGATGTAAAATTTGAACAGAAAATGCCAGATTATTGGTTTTTGAGAGGAAGCAGAGACAGACATATGGCAGAGAACATGACCCAAGGTATTGATACAATTAGCTGCTTAAATTATTTATAGTAACTTCTTCAAACAAAAATTCTGCATCACTGGTGGAGATTAGATTATTTGTTAATTAAGTTGACTCTGTACCTGCTACCTGAGCAAGTCCATGGGCCCAGATGGGATGCACCCATGAGCTGCAGGAGCTGGCAGATGTCATTGTGAAGCCATTCTCAATAATCTTTGATCCATCATGGTGACTGGGAGAAGTGCCCAAACATTGGAAGAAAGCAAATGCCTTCAAGAATTTGCTGTCTACACAAAACAGGAGGAGTAGCTGATATGCCAGAGGG